CCCCAAAACCCCAAAACCCCAAAACCCCGGGCTACTGAATTGCAATTGAGGCTATCAATTTAAATATTATCAAAATGTCTGTGAAAGCAGAGAGATCTGATAAGGAATAGATCTTTGTATTATAAATCTGTTAATCCTTCTGCAGCTACTATGAATTATGCTTATATATCTCTATTAAGGTTCACACAGCTAGGGCCTGGGCCAGAAGAGTTAAAACGACCTGCACCATTGAATTCGTTTCTGTATTTGTACCTACGGAGATCGTTGAGGTTCTTTGATCTAGGCAAACATCGAGAACTATATAGTAATATAAAGATGTTACACATTCAGAGTAATCTTTTTTGTCTTCTTAGGTGAGATCTTCATGATCTTCATATCTAAATCCTTCCTCTTCTTCTTTTTGCAAACACAGAGGGTGTAAATGAACATCGCTATACTGTCAAAACAGAGTTTTACTTATGGAGAACACTGCATACAAGACATTGTTCAAGATAAAAATCCAATAGAAAATAGTTGCCTTGCTACTACTCCAATCATTTTCTGAGCGGTTGAGTAGCAAGAACAAACAGAAAGTAACAATAAACATTTCGTTTCCTATTTCTGTAATATTTTCAGACACATTCTTAAATGGCCTGATGCATCAGATCAACACTCAATGAATGAAATTGGTCGAGGTGTACAGTCCCATGAACATAAGTCTATCAAGTGATCTGCCAACTAAAGTATCAGAGAATGCTTACAAGTTATCATGAGTCAAAGAACTACTCTCCTGACCAGAAACAATATGGGCTGCAATCTGGCTCATCTATTGAGCTTGACCCCATCATAAAGTTCTCTCTGAAGACACTTCTTCATGTTTGAAGATGAAGGCTTTATAGATATCCAAACTACTACAACTGTAAATAGAGACATAGAACAGATAACAGCAAAGAACACAGCGAAGTAGAATGAATTACGTTCAGCCCCAGTTGTGTTGACTTTGTACCTTTCTAGCTCAGAGAAGGAGCACAAACACAGGTTGATGAATCCTTCAAAGATCAAGACCACATACATTTGGAATGTGAAACTTCTGTAAGCTTTCTTGACGAATCGAGCTCAGAGCTTATTTAGACTTGCCCACTCACTTCTTGGCGACCCACAATATGAAGTGGATGATGACATAAATGATGAACATGCAGACCAGAGTGTTCAGGTTGATGAGTGCACTCCCCGAACTGATTTCAATGGTGTCGAAATCATCTCTGGGCTGAGCAAAGTCGAACCACTCAGTGATTTTCCTGAATACAATGATGAAACTCCAGTCAATGTCGATGTCAATCAGAGATGCTGTGAGAGTTCTGAGGTAAGTCACCACTCTGAGTGGGATGAAGATTTCACACAGCAAGAATAGGATCAACAACTGGAGCTGGTTTATTGAAGAAAGTATAGAATTGGTCGATGCGCTACTAAAAGTTCCTCCAATAACGTTCATTAAGACTAAGGTAGGAATAGCACATAAAGTTCCGATCTGTAATGACCTCTCATTTGTAGTCATAGGAACTGACTTATAATCTCGGCTACATATATTTGGAACTGAAGTGTCTCATTTCCAGCCAACTTCAATTTCGCTACAGTCAGAAGATCAGCCATCTCCTTCAATAGTGTTACCATCATCACAAGCTTCCGAGTCTACTCTGTATCCATCACTTCATTTTGTAATGCATTCAGTTGGACTAGAAGGATCATTTAGATAGAGCCCATTGCTGCACTCAGTTCAGACACTTTTAGATGTTGATGAGCCTCCTAATCAATACCAGCTCGATTCAATTGTAGTGCAATCAGATCTTCATCCATCTCCACTGACAGTGTTGTTGTCGTCACAGACTTCAGAACTGATGACATAGCCATCTCCACACTTAGGTCTGCATTGGTCAGTGGTTGAAGGAGTCTGCTCATATTTATCAGGACAAACTGCAGAAATTTGTAAAGGGCTAGTTCCTACATCACTAGCAGTTGCATAATTTTCTGGGGGAATGAGTATACTTCCGCTTCCACAATCCCACGAGAGTCTCAAGGCAGCAGCGTACAATATATCTATCCAATCGATTTCAAGATCATAAGTTTCGAATGCATTGAAGAAGTAATTGAAACTAGTTGTATCAAACATCCTGACTCCATAATTGCTGATTTCTGCCACTCCATTAATTTTACTATAAAATTTTAATCTAAACTTACAAGTCTGCCCCATCGTCTTGGAGCAATGATAAATTTCAAGTCCCAGACTGAAAAGAAGTAAGCTTGCCAGTGAGCTGGGCTGCTACGTTGTCATGATTGCCAGGAGTGATATCTTGATTAATAACCCAACTCAAGTTGATGTCTCTAAATGTAAGAAGATTAATAATTTCTTCAATAAAAGTTCAAATTCAAGTCAGGTAATTAAAATAATCTGGATGTAGCCAGGAATTCAATTTTAGTTCCTTTCTGAAGAGAGATCTACAAGAATGGCTCAAACATAGCTCAGAATTTGTAATAATGTTGGTAATGACATAGAAGCTTACGCTGTTGTATTCGAATCATCTGGAGGTCCTGAAATACTCCCTGAACTGTAATAATTTGCAGAAATATCTTGATGTTCGGGCCAGACCACTGAGATAGTTGCATCTCCAATATGGTTCAGGTCAAAACTTGCAGAGTATGATCCCCCTGCAGTGTGTACAAACTTGATAACTTTCTCTCCGCCATTAACTGCACTCTGAGTGAAAGCAGAGGCAACTCAGGCCATATTGACTCCTCGAGTGCATGGATCTGTAATACGAGCATAGATATCTTCTCCTCCAGTTGCAATATTATTTCCTCCAGAATCTTTGGCCTGGACGATGATAGTATAAGTCTGGTTTATAACTAGACTATCTCCAGAAGTTACACCAGTGATTGTACTCTGAGCGGGGTCAAATGTTAGTGCTATAAAAAGATTCAATATTTTGATTGGGAGGTTACTAAAGGTCATGAAGATATCTACCAAATAATACCTAGGAGAGATACAAGGTATCCTGTGACTTGGCCATATACCAAAATGTGTAAAATCTTTTTTATTTTAAGAAGTTACATGGCAAAATTATTGGCTTTTTGATACCCATCTTTATTAGCAATTTTGTAAGCGAAATTGTATGAATGAAGATTCAAGCCAAAGCATCATTTTTGTTATTAACTGGAGATTAGAGCTCTCTCAGAGCTTCATGCGGTGATATGGCCATAAAATATAAAGGCTATCCAACAATTAGTGCGGGTATTTTAAGAAACCTATCATCTGATGTTGCTTGAGCCGTAATAGTTGGACTAGATAATCTTACTCTTGAGCACTATTACTGAGAACATCATCAATCTGAGCCTATAGCAAGAAGTCAGCTTATGCATAAATTTGGAATGAAATGCCAATATAATATCTCAAAACAATGTCGATGAACTTGACGGTATGACGTAATAGGTCCTTTCATGATGACAACTTTAGCAAAACAGAATGTTTCAACATGATGCAAGTCAAGAATTGAATTTTCTTCCAGAGACGAGATATTGGAAGTTACTGAGGTACACATCTGAAGAGTTTAAAGAATTCACATTCAGTGGGTCTGTAGCATCTTACATATACATTTTCTCTATTGTCAATAATTGTATAATGCCAAGGGGTTTTGGGGTTTTGGGGTTTTGGGGATTTTGGGGTTTTGGGG